GTCATTACTGCTGATGGAAGGATTTTTAAAAAAGATAAACATTGATTGGCCAATAGTTTATAGGCCTGATGACTGATTTAATTCTGTGGTTGGCTTCAAAGTAAAAAAAAAAAAGTATATAGCCCTTTTAATTGCAACAAAAAGTGCTAGATAATTTTTTACTTAAATAAAAACTAGGGTTTCCAAGAATCTGGTATACCATTGCAAAAGATAATTAGAATGTTATTGAGCATTATTGTAGTAGCAACTGCTGATTTTTAGAAAAAGCCTGAAAAAGCAGAGTTGGAACTCTATGAGGCTGAATAAAAAACATGGAAGCATTAAAAGCTGATTCCATTGCACTGTGCTGTTCAAAGGGAACATGGTGAAGCAACCTGCTGATTTTCAGCCACAAACTGGCTGAAAAACATACAAACAGTCTGGTGAAAACTTAGCTCCCTGTTCACAACTGGCAAATGTGGCATGAACCGACTTGGTGGCTTTTTGAGCATCGTTAGCCAAAACCCAATTTGCACACCTTCTAGAAATCATGCAGTACATTTTTACGTGTACAACCATTTGAAACCAAGCTTTTTTTAAAGCAGTACTTTACTGCATTCTATATTATCACTATATTATATTATATATAAGAAATGCAAGAAGGCAAAGTGGCTGTCTGATGAGGCTTTACAAATAGCAGGGAAAAGAAGGCAAGGCAAAGGTGGAAAGGAAAAATTTACCCAACTGAATGCAGATTTCCAGAGAACAGCAAGGAGAGAAAAGGAGGCCTTCCTGAATGAACAATGCAAAGTAATAGAGGAAAACAGTAGAATGGGAAGGACTAGAGATCTCTTCAAGAAAATTAGAGAAATTAAGGGAATGTTCCATGCAAAGCTGGCCATGATAAAGGACAAAAACAGTAGGGACCTAAGAAAAGCAGAAGAGATTAGAAAAAGATGGCAAGAATACATAAAACTATACAAGAAGGACCTCGATGTCCTTGACAACCACAACGGTGTAATTACTGACCTCGAGCTAGACATCTTGGAATGTGAAGTCAAATGGGCCTTAGGAAGCATTACTAACAACAAAGCTAGTGGAGGTGATGATATCCCAGCTGAGCTATTCAAAGTCTTAAAAGATGATGCTGTTAAAGTGCTGTGCTCAATATGCCAGCAAATTTGGAAAATGCAACAGTGGCCACAGGATTGGAAAAAGCCAGTTAACATTCCAATCTCAAATTAGGGCGACGCCAAGGAATGTTCAAACTATTGCACAATTGCACTCATTTCACAAGTTAGCAAGGTCATTCTAAGGATCGTAAAAGCTAGGTTTCAGCAGTACGTGGATAGAGAACTGCCAGAAGTACAAGCTGGGTTTCGAAGAGGTAGAGGAACTAGAGATCGAATTGCCAACATTCGCTGGATTATGGAGAAAGCGAGAGAGTACCAGAAAAACATCTACTTCTGCTTCATTGACTATGCTAAAGCCTTTGATTGTGTGGACCACAACAAACTGTTAAAGAGATGGGAGTATCAGACCACCTCACGTGTCTCCTGAGAAACCTGTATAAGGGTCAAGCAGCAACAGTTAGAACTGGACATGGAACAGCTGATTGGTTTAGAGTAGGAAAAGGAGTACGACAAGGATGTATATTTCCCCCCGGCTTATTTAATTTATATGTAGAGTATTTCATGCGAAATGCCAGCCTGGATGGATCACAAACCGGAATTAAGATTGCTGGGAAAAACAGCAACAACCTCAGATTTGCAAACGATACCACTCTCATGGCAGAAAGTGAAGAGGACCTCAAGAGCCTCTTGCTAACAGTTGCTAACAGTGAAAGAGAAGAGCGCAAAAGATGGCTTGAAACTCAACATCAAAAAAACTAAGAGCATGGCATCTGGCCCCATCACTCCTTGGCAAATAGAAGGGGAAGTCATTGAAGCAGTGACAGAATTCACATTCTTGGGATCCAAGATCACTACAGATGGTGACTGCAGCCATGAAATTAAATGACGCCTGCTCCTTGGGAGGAAAGCTATGGCAAACCTAGACAGGATAATAAAAAGTAGAGACATCACCCTGCCAATAAAAGTCTGCATAGTCAAAACCAATGGTATTCCCAGTAGTAATGTATGGCTGTGAGAGTTGGACATAAGGTAGACTGAGTGCCGAAGAATCAATGCTTTCGAATTATGGTGCTGAAGAAGACTCTTGAGAGTCCCTTGGACTGCAAGGAGATCAAATCAGTCAATCCTAAAGGAAATCAAACTGTTCCATGGAAGGCAGATACTGAAGCTGAAGCTCAAATACTCTGGCCACCAAATGAGAAGGGAGCACTCACTGGAGAAGACCCTGATGCTGGGAAAGATTGAAGGTAACAGAAAAAGGGGATGACAAAGAATGAGATGGTTAGACAGTGTTACTGCTGCAACAAACATTAAATTGAGCAAACTCCGGAGGATGGTGGAAGACAGGAGGGCCCAGCATGATGTGGTCCATGGGGTCACGAGGAGTCAGACTCGACTGTGCGTCTGAACAGCAACATGACTTAGAGAACTGGACACTTCACTTTGAGCACCAACGACAAGATAAAGATGGATCTGAGAAACTGGAGGACAACAAGGATGCAGAAAAAGAAGACGACAAAACAGGAAAGTTCTACCAACTAGAAAGAAAGAAAGAAAGAAAGAAAGAAAGAAAGAAAGAAAGAAAGAAAGAAAGAAAGAAAGAAAGAAAGAAAGAAAGAAAGAAAGAAAGACAGCAAAGGATGAGATGGTTAGACAGTGTTACCGATGCAATGAATGTGAAATTAAGCAAACTCCAGAGCACAACAGAAGACAGCAGGGCCTGGCGTTATGTGGTTCATGGGGTTGCGAAGAATCTGACTCAACTGCGCGACTGAACAACAACAACATTATAATTTAAATAGGTTAATTATAGCTTTTTTGGTAACAATGTTCCTATTCTGATAGGTATATACGGTTATAAGCCTTATAAACTAAGCTACTTTTGGATCACCTCTGAGACAGTGTTAACTATGGACAATGTCAAACAGCACTGAGCCAAGATAAAAGTAATAGAAAAGGTACAGGGGATGACATGCAACAAGGGAGAGGTTTGAAAAAGGGTATGTGTGTGTTATCCTACAGCTTGCACTGGATGCCTTAACTATAGTTAATAGCCAGATAACATTATGTCTAGGGGTGTGTGTTCAATAAAAACTGAACTGAATAAATATACAAAAAACACCTTATTGGCATTTTTCAAGTATTTATTTAGCCAAATACATATTCTCTAATCTGATTCAGCTACTGATATTGCTGAGCTCAAATAAAAGCCAATATTATTCAATTTTTATTTGGGCTCAGATTGGAGAAGCCGAGTTGTGCCACGGCAGCAACCCACTCTGCAGAGGTGATGGTGGTGCAACTTGTCAAGTGAACTCAGGATTTTAAAGGGTCTCTTTAAATGCCTGAGTTCACTTTCCGAGCCAGGCCACTGTCATGGCAGCGTGGGCTGGCTTGGGGAAGGGATTTAAAGAGACCTCTTTAAATCCCTTCCCCAAACTGGCCCATGCCGCCTTGGCGATGGCGGCAGTGCAACTCATTGAATGAACTCAAGCATTTACTCACCAAGTCGCAATTTAAATCCATTATCCAAGCCAGCCCGTGCTGCAAGTGAACTCAGGCATTTAAAGGGACTGTGTTCCTTTTCATGCTTTTTCCCCTCCATTCTTTGGGGACCCATAGAATTGGACCCCCGGTCTAATCTTTTTTAAACTTGTGAGGGTTTTTGAGGAGAGGGACCAGAAATTATGTGGCAGATTTGGTGCCTCTAACTATACCTGGAGAGGCAGTTTTGCCATTGGACAGCATATGTCACATTTATATGCTACCCTTTTCCCAATGAGCTCCAGGTGGTTTTATCCCATTTATAGTGTTTTATGGTATGTTGTATACTATGTATTTTAATGTAATTTATGTTTTTATTGGAAGCCGCCCTGAGCCCGCTTGCGGGGAGGGCGGGGTATACGTTTGCAGAAATAAATAAATAAATAAAAAACCAGACCCTCAGAACCCCAGAAACCCTCAGATTGATTCTCCATGATAGCCTGTGGGGAATATAACAGAGATGAATAAATTTGGGTTTCCCAAATCCCAATACCATACCAATAATGGAATTTGAGAATATTGGGAAATACCGATATTTTTGGGGTGCAATATACCCCAACCAGAAAAATACCAAAACTTTTTTTGCACACTCCTAATTATGCCTATACCATTGTTTAGTTCACAATACCAAAGCTATTCAGGCATCCCTCAGTGAACTCAGACCTGCAAATGGGATCATGGCTTGGAGCCATTAATTCTTCTTACACACACATACGCATAAATCAAAAGAAATATTCTCAGAACAGAATGCACATAAGAAAGTCTTGCCCAGTTCCTTTGTTCTCAATGTGCTGTCTTGTTGTTTTCATAATTAAATTCATTTTTCAAAAACACTCCACATCTTTTCCAATACAAAGGCAGGCACTCAGTATGAATACTTTACGGTGCTCGGGGGCTGCATGCTTGAGTCCCAGCACTGCTAATGAGATTAGAAATCCCAATTATAATAACTAATAGTGTCGATTTGCTACTAGAGTACTCTAGAAGGAAAACACAAGGTAGCAAAAGGAAGAAACCAGGGGGATAATAAAATCTGAAATGTTATTATTGTATTTCGCAGTAAATAGTATATTGCAATTCTCTTTTCCCTTACCATCCCATTTTACTTTTATTCTGTGAATAATGACAGTGAGAAAAAAGAAGAAAAGACAATCCCAGTTTTAGTAGGAAATACATAATTTCTATGCTGCATTCTACATTTTCAGTCCAGATTTTCATATATGAAAAAATGAAATATGTTATTGTAAGGGAACACTATATGGTGCCATTTTCTGAAAAATGTAATGGTATAAATGGTTCCCCTTGGAAACAAATTGCCTGGTAAAATACATGACTGTTGCTTACCTTATGTTCTTCAACCTGCCTCTTTAAGTTTTCCAAATCAGGCCCCAAGGGCTCAGAATCTATCTTTTCTGTCCTTTCTTCTGTTTTAACTAACCAGTGAGTGAGTTGGCTTAGTTGATGGTTTTGTAACTCCATTAGCACTCGATGTAAACTGGAAACAAATAATTTAAAAGTAAGTTGAAAGACACATGAGACATTAGATACATCAGCCTTCTGTATACCATGCACTGTATGTTAACATCACAAATGAAGAAATCAGAGGTCAAACCCGTTTACTTCCAAAATCATATTATCTTTACATTTTTATTTAAAAGAAAATTCATATTTGTATATATTTTGACAGATACCAGTGGAAACCCAAAGCCATTTTATGAAGACTGTTATAAGCCTATCTCTAACTGAATGCATAGTGCTTATTGTAAAATGCACATATGCTTAAATAATTTTAACCTGTCTCTACCACTCCAATGATCAAAATCTGAAGTCTTCCTCCAGCCTAAGGAGTTTTGTTCCAAAGTGACTCTTATTCCACTCCAGTCTTATTACATTTAAACTGGACTAAGAATCCTTAGGCTGGAAGAAGGCTTCAAGTTTTGTTTAGGAGAGTGGTAGGAAATGGGTCCTTTATTGGTGAAATTCACCCAAGTGTTGTATTCTTCGTGCATTGACCAGTTTAGAACCAATTTAATCCCCCTCCCCAAACAACAACAACAAAACTTATCTGCTGACTCTACTGCTGGAGAAAGTCCCTTGCTGCAGTTTACAATGAAGAAGAAGAATGAGTTTTATACCCCACTTTTCACTACCAGAAGGAGTCTCGGAGTGGCTTACAATTGCCTTGCCTTCCTGTCCCCACAACAGACAACTTGTGAGGTAGGTGGGGCTGAGAGAGTTCTGAGAGAGTGGTGACTGACCCAAGGTCACCCAGCTGGCTTAATGTGAAGGAGTGGGGAATTAAACCCAGTTCTCCAGATTAGAGTCTGCCACTCTTAACCACTACACCAAGCTGGCTGTCAATGATGAAAAACAAAACAAAAAAAATTAAAAAGCACACTTAGATGTTACAAATGAGGCATTGCCAGCACATGATTTCTGCACAGGAAGCCTTGCTATACTCTTCTACTCCTAAATATATGACACTAGCAGCTAGCTCTTGAACAGAACACAAAATTGGCATTATGATTTCCTTTGAAGATTAAATGTGGATTTAATCAGTTAGGTTGCATTAGAATAGTACTATAGATTGGATTTGTTCCCTATAAGGAGATATGGACCAAGCCCTGTCTACAGTTCTTCTGAAAGTTACAGAAACTACAGCTGCATCTTGTGCAATACAGTTCCACAGAACTATTAACCTGTGCCCGACTTGTTCATGTTTAATCCAGAAGATCAATCAGGAGGCAGCACACACTTAAACAGGTAAAAAGATGTTTCTGATGGACAATTAGAGCAACAGCTAACTTATCTGGATTCTAGAATTTTCTTTTCATCTGTCCAGTCCACTATAAATTCTAGAATGGATTATCATGTGGGTGACCCAGGGCAATCTAAAATACTGGCCTGGAGCAACTAATGGAGTTGTTACAAACACCACAGCTCGTACCCCTGCCCCCTTCACTAAAGCAAGTTCTTATCGATGATGGTAGGGGACTGCTAAGAATACAGAAGCAGATGTAGCCTGGCCTTGTTTTCACTTCCGCATTGTCATTTTTGTCACTCATTTGTCCCTTTTGCTTCAGGGTGTCCCCCCAAAAATGTGTTTTGCTCTCTCTAGTAGTCCCAGAGGAAGCAAAACACAAGTAGAAAAGGGGGGGACGACCCAAAGCAATACGGACAAATGAGTGACAAAAATTACAGTGGCCCTTGTCTCACAAAATACCCTCCTGCTTGGTTCCAGGGACTCTTTGCTACACGTGGAAGCAGACTGTTTTCCTTATTTATTTATTTATTCGATTTTTATCCCACCCTCCCCACCGCAGGCAGGCTCAGGGTGGCTTACAATAAAGATTAAAAAACATTAAAACACAAACATAACAATTCATAGCTTGCAATAAAATAGAATAAAATAAAAATAAAGTGCTGGTGACAATAACAACCCAGTGGCCATGATAGATGTTCCCACAAAAATGGCCCCTGTCGGCGTCGAGAATAGTTAGTTAGTATTATCCAGCTCAGTTAGTATTGTTGATGTTGTTGATGTAAATGATGTTATTAGTGGCGGCTTCTAGTTGAAGGCCTGGTGGAAGAGCTCCATTTTACATGCCCTGAGGAACTTATATAAGCCCTGAAGAACTTATATAAGCAGGTCATTCCATAAACCTCAACAAGGAAAATTAAGTTGTATGCAGAAAATCATTTCCATAGAAATTGATTTCATATGGTAAATTGTGTACATAGCTAGAAAAGGGTTTTTTTTTAATGAACTTTCAAAACCTGGTTATCTGTATAGGCAGCTAGGGAGGGAGGTAGACAGAACAACAAACAAATAGACAGGCAGATAGGTTTTAGTTACATTACTCTTTCATGTCACACCAACTGAGCACTACCAATGGGACTGTTCTCTGGGGAGCAATTTTCTGTGTTGGTGAAGACACTTGTGTGTTACAGTGTACCAGTACTGACAACTCAGCATGGCATCTTGTTCTCATCCGCTGCTGTTCCTTTGAGAAATAATTTATCCCTGACTCAGCAGACAGATGTGATAATGTTTGCATCACTGGTTTTGCCATAATTTGGGAAACATGCAAACACTCAAGAGTAAAATATTTTCAGCATGCTTTAAAAGAAGGTCATTAGATATTTAAAATAAATGAAACAAAACTAGAGCATAATATATCTCAATTTGTATTAAACATATACAGCACATAATTAGAGCACATAGCACCACAATTCACCTTTCACTAGTTTCTAATACACATTTTATTTAGTTTCTAGATCACTGAATCTCTCTCTCTCTCTTTTTGTCCTTAGATAAGCATTAGTAAAGATTTAATTACTCATTTTCTTGGCAACTATGGATTTGGAAAGGCACTTCCATTCAATTTTGATTTTAAATTAAAAGTGGGAAAGATTAAATGTTTTAATTATTTCTTTAAAGTAGAGAAAGTGCTTAGCTGAATAGCGATTTCGCGCATACATGCTGTTTCAACTAGTACAACATTCATCAACGTGTATGGAGCATGTGTACTGCCACTCAGGCACTGTGGGACTTTGACAGAGGCCCTACGTCTGGGACTTTTAATCCCCATTCTCAGCAAATTAAGAGCTACTGATAGTAACTATAAGTCTCTTGAACAAGGGCATTTGCACCAGAGTCCAGAATCATCCTGGTTGTCATAATAATCTCATCCTAGTGTGCCAATCTTATATATCTTTTTACTATAAAATTATATGCAACATGTTGAGGCCATCTGACTGCTCTCTCCATGTTTTGCCAGTCTTCTAAACATCTTACAGTTTTTTGTGCCTTCTATATTATTCATAGATGTTTTATTTTTTTTTAATTTTAACCAAAAAAGTGAATTTACTATACAACTGCAAATGAAAAGGTGCAGCAATTTTAAAAGACAAGTCATTTACTGCTTGGATTGGCTTAAAACCCATCACATTCCCCCCCCAATCAATCAAATCAAGACATGTCTTGATTTATCAGTAGTACTTTCTAACATAAATAAATCCCCATGTGTACATGAAAAGATTGTCTCCATGATGAGAATATAAAGTGTGTGTGTGAAGCATTCTTGAGAAAAACATCCTATAAAAAGCCTAGCTTTACAATGGCTATTTAATGATACACATGCCATTCTGGATTTATAAAAGCAAAGATGGCTTAAATTAGTTTCATGAGGTAGTTCATTAGCTCTTCGGAGGAAATCAATTTGCTGTTTTTTTAAAAAGTAATGCAAACCATAATGAGAACATTGATCTTTCTGATGGCATTCAAGGGTTAAAATGTGAGCAATGAAGAAAAGACTGCAATGGCTCATGTGGAGCTTATGGAATGGCAGCAGAATAAGCATAGCTAAATGTGGCCTACAAAGTCTATGGTACAAGAGACAAGGCAAGTTACAAGTTCAGAAAGACAGCCTGAGACACACATTTTTTCATTGCTGTTTGGCGTACCATAGCATACTGATTTTAATGGGCAGTCCTAAGGGCTGCCTGTATCACAGCAGGCAGGCACTGCCACAATTATGCAGTTGCTAGTCCACTCCCTTAAAGGTTCTGGCAGAGATTGGGAGGCAGGAAAAAGACCAAGAAGTGGTACCACGCAGGCTGCAACCATGTCCGCATCCATAGCAACCACACGTTCCGCACAGGTCACTAGATGCTAGGTATGACTGTGATTAACTAGGCAGATAGAACCAATCATGGGCTGGCAGGTCACAGCTGAGGAATGGGAAGGGGTGGGGCCAGGACCATGAGGCTGTATCCACAGCTCACTCCCCCACCCCCTTAAAGGAACAGAGCCCCGCTTAACAGTAACAGGGTGGCTGACAGAGTGGGCAAAGCTCCCATATTCTCCCACTGGTGGTGACCACAAACAAGTCCACAGCCCATATGGTCCAAAAGCAGCTATCACAAAGAAAGGGGCATGGGGAAATGACAAGGAGAGTATGCCCAGTCAGGGTATCTGCTGCTCATCAGCTAGGGTGCCACCCAGCAGCCTGGTCAAACTGCCAGGGACACCTCCAGGCCACCCTGTCCCATCAACACTCTCCTTATCCTCTGCCTCCCCACCATACCCCCCTCAAAACATGTCAAGTCTGATGGCTGCATCAGCTCCCCACCCAGCCATTGGCTCTGGGGACCCCACAATACCCAGCATTTGGAGGACCACTGTGCTGGCTGCCATGGCTTGTCTTGAAGGGGTTAGGGTGTAAAGATTTTCCATGTCATCAGCAGTCAATATCAGGATGAAGGGGCCTGGGGCAAAGCAGAGAGAAGTCGCTGAGTCATCAGGACCAGACATACCATGTGCCCCATGTCCATGACCAGTGTTCCCTCTAAGCTGAGTTAGTGGGAGCTAGCTCACAGTTTCTTAGCCTCTGACTCACATATTTTTGTCTTAGCTCAGGAAGGATGGCTTCAAAGCAAACTGATTTATGCAGTAGCCAAATAACTTGCTCACAACTTAAATGCCAGTAGCTC